AGGCTTTTGTAAGATCAATGGAAGTAATGTAAAGGTGGGTTCGTATCTTCTGACATTTTTCTTTGGAGCTTCCGAGCGTCCAAGCTCACGCCGGTGGGTCCGTGGTGTCGTCAGAGGCCATACTGACTTTCGGGCCGAAGTTCCTGTTCGAAATTGCCGTTGAGACGGTTGTGGATGACACGAGCGAGGACCTTCCTGATGATGATGAGCAGCGAGATTTCTCTGTGATTATCATACAACTGAAATTATCAGAAGTAGGAATAAGAGGAAATCTTCTGAACTGGATTCAAGATTTCCTAAACGGACGGCAACAAAAAGTCACTGCGGGCGGCTACTGCTCAGAATGGGCACCGGTTACGGGTGGAGTTCCACAGGGGTCAGTTCTTGGGCCGCTCCTATTCATTATCTATGTAAATGACCTGGTACGGGAAGTGAAATCAGACATAGCGCTCTTTGCAGACGACCTTAAACTTTGGAGAGCGATAAAAGATGAAGATGACGTCAGGATGCTACAAGAGGACGTAACGAATTTGCACGTTTGGAGCGAGAAATGGTGCATGAAATTCAACGTCAAAAAATGTGCAGTAATGCACGTAGTATCAGCGAGGCGAAGAACAAATACACCGCCACGACAGTATCTCCTGGACAATCAACCACTTAAAACCGTAGATGTGCAAAATGATCTCGGTGTATTCATTAAAGACGATCTAAACGTCACCACGCAGTGTTCTAAAGTCGCTGCGCGGGCAATGTCCGTTATGAGCGCGATACGCAGAACGTTTATTCACTTGAATAAGGATGTCTTTGGCAAAGTATACGGGACATTTGTGCGGCCGCACCTGGAATATGCTGTACAGGCTTGGCGGCCGTGGCTTCGGAAGGATATAGCTATCCTTGAAGGTGTACAACGGCGTGCTACAAAGGCTGTTCATGGCCTCAAAAACTTCACGTACGAGCAGCGCCTGACGGCCTTGAACCTTTATCCCCTCCACTACAGGCAGGACAGAGGTGACCTCATAGCAACGTTCCAGTTGATAAAAGGACTTAATCTGGATGTCGAATGGGAAACGTTTTTTGAAATGGCACCAAAGTCCAATCTCAGACGACATGATTACCAGCTTAAAAAAGAACTGTGCCACACAAATCAACGTTCCTCCTTTTTCTCACAGAGGGTCATTCGCCAATGGAACTCTTTGCCGGAGTTTGTTGTTAATTCCCCTACAGTGAACGTGTTCAAGAGACAACTGGATACTCATCTTCTGAAAGGCAACCCAAACTGCCGAAGCCTGATCTAACGGATTATTGAAATGACTATAAATATACTACTAACTAGATTTCAACAGATCATATTTTTGCGTCAAACTTAGCCCATATTGAAATTTTCAGTCCGAATGCGGTGAACAAAGTTTTTCGCAATTCTTTTGCGAATATAATACCCCTTTCAACTTTATGTTACATTATTAGATTTATGAATTCTCCCTACTAAAACTGCAAGCAAAAGTTTTGCAGTTTAACTATTTTACTTTAAACCTGTACCCTCTAAATTGAGTTTTCATGGCTTCTGTCGTTAACTCCAAATATACTGACTGATACTGACTGACTAACATGAAAGTTCGACCATCGATCCCAACGGTTTTCACCGCGTGCTCCACAGCGGAATGCGAGGGAGGTCGACGACTTGTCTGTAAATCCGTTTACAGTGATGGTAGACTTGCTCGGCACCTATTGCTCCCTCTCCTCTCATTTGGGTGCCCTGTCGTGACAAGGCCACGAAGACCGGCGGTGAGTGAGAGCGTAGGTGGCTGGCGCGGCCAGAGCGGCATCAGGCGTGCTTCCACACCCGACTCTGATCCCACTGGATCTTATTTTTACAGAGACCACAATGAGAAATAGCCATTTCAACCTGAATTAACATACATACATACATACATAACGGGAAAGTTAGGCGACCTCAGGAACGGTGGTTTATAGTCTAAGGTTTCGAAAGCAAACACGCCTTAAAAAGGCCCGTTTGTGCAAAACCGTTTGAAATCCTCCGTTCCGAGATAAGTTAAAATTTGTTCATAATTGAAATATTTCGCATAGTTTTGCATCTATTTTCAACCGATTTTTATAACCTGTCGAAAATAACACATAAAGTTTTTAACACTCTCTTCAATTAACCATGGCCGACGTTAAGCTTGCTGTCGACAAAGTAGATCTTTCGGTCATCGTACGTTTACAGAAGTTTATCGAGAAACATGAACACATGTTTACGATTCTCGACTCACTAACAGACTCAAATACATTCCCAAACAGCCTAAATAGCCTACCACAAATAGAATCGAGTATACATTTAGTGTCATCAGAAGTCGCGGATTGGTCAAAACGCAGACTCAGTTTGATTATCCGCAATATCTCCCACACGGTTAACCCAACACAATCAATCCAAAAACTTATACATTCGTGTGGCCTAAACATCCGAGTAGCTACCACCAAAAGACTTCACTCTAGAAGCAAAAGTAAACCCGTCTGAGCAACTTTCTACTCACAGACCGAAGCTGAACTTGTCCCACAAAACCCCGAGTTAAA